CTGCGCTGACTCATGTACTCCCGTCGAAGGGCTCTTTATCGACGATGCGTCGATGGACGTCAAAACTGGCGACATCCTGAGGCCACTGATCATCTTGCAGTGGTTGCTCAGCCCGTCAGCGTCATCCCGTCTTCGACTACGCCCATGCGGCTCAGAGACTCGTAGATCTTGTGATAGTCGGGGTGTAATATTTTACCTTCCTTGTGCCGTGAGGTGCAGTCTCGAAAACAAGAGTCTGAGTTCATTATTATGCAGCTGGCTCCGAGTCACCCCTAATATGTGGAGGCACAGGGCGCCACGAGAAAGCAGCTGTCTTGTGCACTCGTTGCCGGATAGAGTTGCTAAAGCCGGCGGATGATGCATTGACGTAGTTGCGGCGGTTCATGCTCACGCTTCATGGCGTAATGAAACCGATGCAGGGCATGGCGGGTGCTGGGGTTATGTCGCAAGTGCAGGACGCCATGTCTCGGAGATCTCAGTATGCCTAGGTGGTGCTATTCCTACTGTGCTCATGGAAGCTGAAATTCTGCAATCTCTCATCTGTATGTGTTAGACATGTCACGGTATTCAGGGACCAACTTCAAGCGAGCGGAGCACCCGCAGCGACTACAGGACTAGCAGACCCAGCATGTATCATTCGGCCGAACCAGTTTTTGTTTTCTTCAGCGCGCTTTCACGAGTCTGGATCATTATCGCGAGTGGTTGCATGCCTCATATGGCTTTCGAATCTTCAACCTTGACATGACTCATCTACTGCTTCGAAAGGCAGCAGTAGCCTATGGGACCTGTTCGTCGGAGTCGGTGAGAGTGAAATGGACCATGTTCAGCTAGACGAGGGAGGGCGCATGCCATGCCATGCAGAGCCATGCGCTTCCGAGACCCTCCCGGGGTGCATAGGATTCCTTCCAGATGGCAAAAAAGGACGACGGTGATGCTCGACATCTACCACAACCTTTTGTCGTCGTGAATGACAGTCGAAGTCAGGAGGAGCCAATGCAATGGCCGCCCGGAGCATGCGCCAAACATACAGGGCACCTTTCTCGGTCCCCACTCCAAGACGCGATCGATGTCTTGTCCGTCTCCGAGAAGCAAGCTTTTCCGGCGCTGATAGACGGTCTCGTGTGTCGTCAGCATGCTAGATGAGAAAAGCAAAATGAGGATAAAAAGAAAAGATTACAAGAGCCCAGGTCCAGGAGGCAGAAGAAGAGACAGGGTCAAAATAGCTGGGGCAGCGCACTAGTGGGGCAGCGAAACGTCACCTCTGGTTCCCGTAAAGTCGAAGGTAAGCGGAGCCAGTGGTGTGTCCAGCTGAGTGTGCGGAGCAACAAGGATTGATTGTTTAACAAGGGAGGCCATCCAACAAACCGATTGGCTGTGGATTCTATTATCCAAGTTTTGGCGAGAGACAAGGTGCAGGCAAATCTGGGCTGGGCTGGCCGGTAGGCAATACCCTTCCTTGCCTGCGGAATACGTTTGTCTTTCTTCACGCATTAGCTGCCATGGCGTGCATGTGCCGTCCCGTCCATCATCTTTCGAGCCGGTACGCCAGTGAGCTTGGCGTTTTCGTATTGCCAGGCATGCTTTCACAGATGATGCTCGCCGACGGAGCTGCGGGGAGTCGCCGGTTGTTGCCGGTGCCGTTCCCCTGCCGGCTTGCCTTCGACAACGACGCCGAGGGCGATGCCCGCATCAGCCTGCGAACCGGAGTCCACCACGTCGAAAGATTCGTCTCCAGAGAAGCGCCTGCAACGTCGTCAGCATTAGCGGCTGCATGAGAGCGAATGTGTCGAAGAAACACTGGTTCGCCTCAACACGACTATAGGGACGGGAAAAGAAAGTATGGCCGAGTCATGCTCGAGATCGAATGCCACCAGCCAGGGAGGGGTCCCTACCATCCTCTTTCTTCGCCGCTGCTGAGAAAGCTGCAATCGCTGTTCTGCGTGCAGATCCAGCCTCCACGCACACCTTTGCCATCCTTCCATGATGGATAAGTGGAATTCTCTGGGGTCTCGTCAACAAGGTTGCTTATGCCTTCTGCCGGGAATGATGCAGGCGAGTCATGTTTTATGTGAGGAACCATACCCTGAGCGAGAACATCTGACGTCGTCTGCCGGGGGTTCTTCCGTCGTCGGAAAATGCTGAGCCCGCACGTGAAGGCGCGAAAATCCTCAACATCGACAGTGGTGGGAACTTCCCCTGTCAGCACACGACCCAGGGCAATGATGGTCGCAGCATGCGAGCATAGGACAACGGCGCGTATGCCTTCGGCATCGCACTGGTCAATGATGGCGCCAACGCCAGCCCGCGACGCGTTCGTAAAGCCCTTCAATGGTTTCGCCCTTGACAGCCGGAACCACAGCGGTCCGGTACGTCTCATCATACCGGGGAAACATTGGCTTCAAGACCTCCGCGGTAGCTGGAGTTGGGTGTTCAAAAGGTGCGGCGCCATACCATTCAGCAATTCCAGACTCAGGACGAATGCTTGTTGCGGCAGACTGAGTCGAAACAGTCTCGCCGGCAATATTGGTAGCGCCCGCCGTAGTGACCGACGACGCTGAGGTTTGGCGTTGCACCTCCTCAGCCTTGAGCTCCACGAAGGGCGTAATAGTCTGGAGGCAGCGATAGTACGGACTCGAGTAAACGGCTTCAATCGGAGGGCTGACAGTCAAAAGATGGACTCCGAGTTCCTTTGCTTGGTCAACACCGTGTGCTGTCAGGGCTGGATCCGAAGCGATGCCTGTGGGCGACCTGATGGAGGAGCTATAATCACCCGTCGCGGGGTCGACAAGCCAATTGGAACGAAACTATGAACGGCCGTGGCTGGAGTTAGAATGTTGCCTTAGATGCCTAGGGTACACGGGCAAGTCGGGCTCGACGTACCCCGTGGCGGGCCACGTAGATGACCTCCAGCGACATAGCCGTGCTTCAATGGAAGCAGCTGCCTGATGGCTCGAGGTAAGCCAAGGGGTAGCTGAGAAAGGGCGGGCGTGGCTTCACTAGGGGAGGAAACTCTAAAACAAGAATAAGAAAACCTCAGTAGCAAACCAGAAGATGATGGGCCACTGTTGAGTTGAAGTGGTGTGTAGACAGACAACCGAGAAGCGAGGCGAGGTAATGCAAGGTGATGTCGTTGCGAGGTCCAAGTGGGCAACAAACACCAAGTGCGAGGCATGGGTTGAGGTGGGTGGGCCGCCTCGGCTCAGACCCCTCTTGACCCTGACCCTGACCCAGACTGTACCTGACCCCTCCACTCCAAGACCTTCCAGATCTTCTCCACATTGCCTGGCTGGCTTCGAGGCGGGACTGGTGGGTCCTTCCTGGTCGCCGAGTCTCCCCCATGAATAACATTCAGAATCCAAACAATAGCTTTGACGAAAGGTGCTACTGTACATAGTACCTACCTGCCAGGTAGGTCGGTACACACAGATAGCTCCTGAAAAAAAGCACCCCCTGACTCAGCTTGCAGACTGCCTGCCCCGGACACTCCAGCGGCAGCCCCTCACGTCGACATGGGCGTTGCACTGTGGTGATCATATCTGCTGATCTTAATGTCCTAAGGGCGGATGGATGGTTGGCATGTTGTGTAACACGTCTCTCGTCCTGATGCAACTGGTAAAGCCGTCTCCTATTACTCCGGGACCATGAATGCCGCCCACCTGAATGAAGACACGCAACGGCTTATTGAACCCGTTATTGTTCCTCCGACCGCCTCCTCGACATCAATCATTACCCAGTCGTCGCGGATACCATGGGCCGTGTGCTGACCACTCTCGTGCACCCAGAGCGATCGTGGTCCACGTTCCCGGCTCGAGCCGCCTCGGGTCCCTTTTCTTCTACCCCTTCCCCATGCCGCTCATTCAACGCTTCTAGGGTATCGTAACATGTATTCTCGTCTGCCGCCACTCTAGCACCCATCACACTGCTTCCGGGACATTACCAACAAAGACTCCAACCTGGTTACTCCACATCAAGGGCCTGGCACCATGGATGTTCAACTACCCGTGTAATGTCGTAGCGCTCAGACACGTTGCGGTTCAGCATGCAACGGATCAGATCGATGCTTTCGTCACTAATGGTGAACGGTACTCTGAGGTCCCGGTCCATGATCTCGTCGATGCTGTAGAATGGATTCTCTTTGTAGACGATGGTGTAGAGCAAGATGCCCAAGGCCCACACGTCCTGCTCCTTGCCACCATAAGGCTTGCCAGCGAGGACTTCGGGCGCCGCATAATCTGCCATGTCATTAGCACACAAACAAGACTGACTGGCTTACGAAAGCTTACCAATTGTGCCCACGAACACATCGAACGGGCCGTTCTTGATGTATGCCGCACTGCCGAAATCGATCAACTTGATGCGGCCCTCGCCATCCAAAATCACATTCTCGTCTTTAATGTCCCTGTGAACGACGAGCGCCTTCGTGTGCAGATGGTGGATGGCCTGAGCAACCTGCACGAAAATGCTCCTGCACTCGGCCTCATCCATGTTGCTGCGTAATTCAATGTAGTCGAAGAGATCCATTCCGGGTAGACCGTGAGGCGTCATCTCGATGTAGTAGTTGATGTCGTCTTCGAAGAATGACTCCATGTCTACAATGTTGGGGTGCCTCAGTTCCGGCCGTCGGAGATAGTCCAGGACGTGAATCTCGAGGGGCACCGTGCCAAGCTTGCGGTCTCGAGTCCATGTGTCGACTAGGATTCGCCGCTTGGTCACGTACTTGAGAACGACCTTTTTTTGTGTCGTTTTGTATTTCGCAAGCTTGACCTGCCCGTAGGCTCCTTGACCCATGTCTTCGAGGATTTGGAAGTCCTCGATGGTTTTCTTATGCACAGGTGTCACAGCGCGCACGGCAGGCGGCCTCTCCTCCTTGGGGCTTGACTTGGCCACTCCTGTGACCTTGGCGGCCGCATGCATGACGTGCTTGATCTGGCGTGTCAAAGCTGATGCGGCCCCAGATCCTGACTTCTCCTTTTTGGTGTCGTCCGAGTCGGAGCTCATCTCCATGGGCGTATGTACCGCCGTCTGTCCTGGCGGT